TGCTCCCCAGGTGCTGGTGAGTAGCGGGGAGCAGCCTACGGCCGTGGCTGAGATCCAGATGGTAGCTGTGTGGTGGTCCACCTGTGAGAAGATGAGGCATGCGTTCCCCTAAACAAGGAAACTCCTCTCAGGAGTCTGCCAGACGCCGAGGGTCGGGGGCTGACTGACACAGATTTCATTGATATTGAAAGTAATTTCATACTTCTCTTCAGCAGTCATGCACCTAATATCGAAAAGGCAAATTTTTGCTGCTTGGGGGTGATGGTGGGCACCTCCGCTGAATTCAGTTAATGGACACATGCAGCTGCACAGCAGAGCAGTTTCCCCCTTCCTGCATCTGCCGGCGAGGCCAGTCCAGTCTCACCAGCATTGTTTGCCTGGAACCTCTGGCTATAAGAACACGGTTATAAAAATCAGGGTAGAGGATGCTTTAAAGGCATCATAATGAACCTAGTGGAGATAGAATGAGGGCATGAAAGGAATTCAGGGAAATGTGAAATTTGGGCTCAATCTAGGTAAAGATCTCAGAAATTCCAGAGAAAGAGGTGTGAGAAGCCAAGAATGGGGGAAGACAGAATAGCTGGGGTCCTTTCTTTCAGTGACCATAGTACCTGCAGTGTTGGGGAGGACAGCAGCTGAGCTATGTCAGGAGATGAGTGAGTCTCACAGTGGGACAAGCCACAGCCTGGAGCATGGGGTCTGGAATTGCTGAGGGCAGGTTGGGTATCAGACCCTCATTTCTACCAACCCCTGCTGATGTCTTTGTAATCCTCCTACACCAGAATCGTACCTTGACACCAGGTGACAGCAGGGGACAAAGCCTATGGACAGAAGAATTCTCTCAAAGTGGCAGTGTGGGCACCTGGGAAGGCATACAAATGAACAACCTTTCTCTCAAAAAAGCTGGTAAGGGCTAAATGATAGCATTTCCTCCCTTGGGCATTAATTCTGGGGAGATATCCTATAGTTACCTGGAGAAGGAGAGCATGTACTTCTCTTTCCCGTCCTATAGCTCAGACTGCCCTGTTCATTAGTTACCGTGAAAGATAAGTTATCTCAACCTTCCACATACCAAACCAGCAATGATTAACTATCCAGTACTTAATACACTAGTGTGACAGTGGTATCTCTATAGGCTGCCTTTTTACTGCCAGCACAAATAACTTCCACGTCTTTCTATCACCCAGGATGACTAACATGGAGAAATTGTACTTCTCCATGGTGTGCCCAGCTAATTGAAAATTCAAATGCTATTTTCATCATAGGAAAACTAGGAAGAAAATGAACAGACTCTAGGCCTGAGAAAGAATCTGATAGAAAACAACCCACCTGACAATTTATCTCCATGGAGGATTAAGTGAACATCTAAAACAACTGTGACCTAGCTCACATCCCATGAAATCAGGTGGACAATTTGAGTTGCAAAATGAAGCAGAGAAGGAAAAACTGAGAACTGTTCAATGTAGGAAGACTTGTATTTTCTCTACTGGCAGGAACAGACCATCCCAGTGTGTGAGGGTCTTGAAAAGTTTGTGGGGGACTCAGATTCTGAGACCCAGTGGGTTCATGAGTGAGCCTGGCTGAAGGTCAGGAGATCGGTCAGGTCACTGCTCAGGACTGCATTTGCTTCAGTGGCAAGTTGGTAATTTACAGTGCTGGGCTTTTTCAACATCACGTGGGGACAAAAAGGAGGCAGATACAGAGCTGGCATAATTCTACAGTCACACGTGAGAAACCAAAGTGAGGACCTTCGTGTGGAGGCCAGGGCACCAGGCAGCCAGGGGAGCCGCGTGAGGATGTGAGGAGCGGCCTGCCTGCCCCTCGTGGTCCCCTCTCAGAACAACCTCTTTTTTCCATGATCCTTACTCAGTGATCGCTGAAATGTGATGACAGGCAAATAGGGTCACAGGAAAGCTTTAATGGACAATTATACTGTTTCAATGTGGCAACCCAAACTAAAACTGAAATTATTGGTAGTTTACTGGATTTGTAAAATCAATCACCTCCTTAAACTGAATTGAGACACTTCCTTTCCTTTGTCCACTGTGTTGAGAGGAGTAAAACGCACAGAGAGGGAAACATAAGCATTTTTACATGAAAATTGAAGTTTCATGTTTTCTTTGTTGGAATTTATCTTTTCTTTGTTCTTCCTTCCAGGATCAGTTAGGTACGTTCACTGTTTGACTGTTAAGATGAAGAAGGATAGAAGGAGATACTTTCCCAATCCTAACTTGAACATCAGCTTTAGTGTAATGATCCTTGATAGATTTTGTTTCTGCTTGAGGGTTTGTTGCTCAAAACTAACCAGTGGGGGACTTTTTTTTTTTTTTACCCAAGAGCTTCTGATTTGCACTATTCACTTTTAAAACACCAAAGACTTAGAACCAAGAAGAAAGCAGGCGTCCGGGTGGTCAGTTTTGCGCGTGGAGAAACCCCTCTGTGCTCTTCCCCAGTGGACATTCGGCTTGAAAAACGAGAAAGTCCCACTTTCAAATTCCTTTTCTGAGCCACTTCTTTCTGTTTATTCATTTTTGTAGCTTCAGGATCCCCATGCCCTTGGCTAACTAAGCAAACGGAGACGTGACTTGTGAGCAGAGAGCGCCGCCCAGTAGGGCTGGGCTGGGAATAGCCCCCCACAGCTACCCTGGCCCCTCAGGGTCCACCCGGGAGCCGACCGTAGCCCTACCTGGGCAGCATTAGCCGGCCGGCTGGCCAAGCGCGGCACCCCGTGGCAGTGTTCGGTACTACAGCTGCATCTCCACCGGCGCCTGGTGGGACTTTTCTAGGGGCCCCTGGACAGTGGGATGGAAGGGTGTGCTGTGTGAATTTCTTTTCTGACTTGTTTTCATCTTCTACCTGTCTTACTCAGCATCTCCACTGAGTCATCCTTTCAATCAAAAAACAGGAGGCAGGCCCAGAGGCTCCACTTTGTAAACAGGAGAAGTTTCTCTTGATCTCCAGCAAGTACTGACTGGGCTGCATCAGCTCAAGATCACCTATTTTTTAGTGTTAGAAGAAAGAGAAGCATTATGCTAAAAAACCATTACATTTCTTTTAAAAAGTTAAAAGTCAAAGAAATTTGGGAGACGATATAGTAATAGAATTAATACAAAGTGAGGGACCAGGAGACCTTATTTCTTGGTCCAGTTCCATCACAAACTGAATGTGGTCTGGGGAAGTCCTTTCCCCTCCACAGGTTTCGTTCTAATAAAGAGGTTGCCCAGATCATTTCCAAGGTTCCTTCTGGCCCTAAACTTCTGTGACCTGCACGCAGATGGTGTTTCCTATGCTCTGCACGTCTCCTGACCAGTTGTGCTTCTCAGCACATAGCAACTGTCTTATCTTCACCCATCACTGCCTCTGCTTCTGAGACCACTCACGGCGTAGGTCATCCAGCCACATCCACGATTCAACTGCCTGTGTCTTTAGAACCGATATTTGAGTCAATCTATGGGAACACCCTGATTTGAGTCAATCTATGGGAACGCCCTGACCTTTTTTAGTTCACTTTGTATGCCTTGAAAAATTGAAGGCATTGGCTTAATTAAACTGTTAGAAGAAAAATTTATTCATTGGCAAATGATGCAAACTCAGTTTGGAATATGTAAACAAGTTCGTATCTTGCTCTCTTTTAGTCTACTCAGAAACCTCACGCTCAGGACAAGCTGCATTTGTGTCATTCTTTTGACTTTACTTCATTGTTATCAAGTGGCTGCTGAGTCTTGGCCTTGATGGCACAGACTGGCCACCGGCAGGAATGCGGTGATGTCACTCCACAGAACCGCGAGTCGCATCTACTTTTGAAAATGTAACAGTGAAGACGCGAGCCCTGATACCAAAGAGCTTACAGCTCACAAGGGAACAGAACTATGCTCAGGAAGCTCTGTCAGCACTGAGGAATGATCCGTGGTAAACCCCCAAGGATGTGAACAGTGAGCTCGCTAAGCAAGGAGGAGCTGAGGAGGTTGGAGGTGGGGCTCAAGGGAAAGTTCATTTCAGTGAAATGGGAATATACCCAGCACTTACTCATCCTTGTCAATGATTTGTCTGCTCCTAATCTCAGATATGTAGGATTCAGAGGATATTTGATTCTAACCCAACTTATTTATAAACTCAAGTTTACTTTGCCATATTCTGCTGGAGGAATCGTATGTCCTGGTATGTATCTGATGTAAGTACTCCTGAGACCTGGGGGTCAGTCCTTGGATGTTTTAGCCATTCCACATCAACCCTATAGGTTCTTCCAGTGTACAGTCCTGCAAGTGGCCACCTGTGGGTTCAGCCACAAGTTTGTTCCCTATGAAACAGGATGGAAGGGCTGAAGGCTTAAGTATTCCTTAGAATGTTTAGGAAGGAATGACCAATTTGAGGATATCCTGTTTAGTAAAAGATAGGGAGACTTGGTGGTGATTAGGAAGCTGGGAGGTCCTGGCTGGGCTGAGGATGTTGGATCGCATCGTCCTCCCAGCGAGTTGACCCTCCCCTGAAGCTGCTCAGTAAAATGCTCCTCAGTTATATCCTGCTATTTCAAGTACAATAAACACTCTCTCAAACAACTTCCACTTGCTATTTGCCAGCTTCTCTGTAAAACTTGTTGGGAGGTGCCACATGCTGAATGCTCGTGACCTTCTCTAGTGCCCACTGCCATCTTACTCAGTTTATGCTGGTTCTAATTATGTAAACAAACTGTATATAAGCCAAAGAGATATGAATCTGAATTATCTTCTTTTCCCCATACAAACATGTGCATATTTTTGTAAAGCTCGCCAGTTCATCTATGCCCGTCTGTCGTCCCCACTGCTGGCGGGGACTGGATGCCATCAGGCCACCTGGCCCACAGCGTCCTCCATGTACGGGAGCCGGTCTTCAGTTTCTCCCAAGGAACGGGCTTTCACGCTAAGAATCCCTTCGGACAAGTTCCCTCTCCTTAGTGAGGGTGGGGAGGGGTTCTAGGGCACTGCGCGTAGATCCGTCTCCCCGAGGAACAAGAGCACGAGGAGCACCATCTAAAATTTCTTTATTTTTGGACATTTCAGAACCACTGTATCAACAATGAATTTTTCTTAGACATAACATACCATGTTCATCTTGAGGTACACACTGAGCCCATGAGATAATGCTCTGTTAATGACAGTTAACACCCCCAGTTTTCCAAGCAAACAAACTCTAAACATGGTCACAAAATTCTTTGAAAAAAACACCATTTCCATTTCAGTCAACGAAAACTCCCCTGCTTTTTAATTTGAGTTCAATTTTTAGGTTTAGCTTAAACAATTTCTTAAATGGAACTTCATATGAAAATGGGAGATGGGGTTTATAGCTAAGAAATTATCTGAGCCCTACTATATGAGATTGTAAACAAAGGAAATTCATAATCTGATAAACTCATTACAAAATTCATAGCCTAAAAATTAGAGCAGCAAAATTGTAGAAGATATTTTATATAGTTTTAACTGAAATCATGGCACCCCTCTTGTTTCTGGCTTTCACAATGGGACAGATTTTAAAACACCGAGTTTTGGAGACTTGACAATGTGATTTGACAAGAAGTTGCCATAAGAGATTCCACAGTATGTCAGCCGCACAGTATGAAGGTCCTACTTCTTGTCTGCGCTGTGGGCATTTTACCTTCTTGCCCTAGCAGCCTGTGCCTTCATATTATTAGAAAAGTAGTGGGAATTAATAGAAGTTTCTGAGAAGTCTCGTATCCAACAGCAGATTTAGCTTTTCTGGGGTCTGAAGTTGAAGTTTTCTTGAAACAATTCATGAGATTTTTTTTTGAGAATTGTTTTTGTTTTGTTTGTTATTCAAACTCTTAGTCTCGGACCCCTCAGGTGTGATGAGCAGTGACTTGTTATACAAAGTTTGGGAAACGAAGGGCCCTCTATCCATCCCTACCACCCCCGAGACTTCTTGGGCGGTTGGCTGGATGACGTGCAGGTGGTTCTGGGATGTAAGCAGAGGGTACTTATGCACGTGTCTGAAAATGGGTGGAATGGACTGTCATAAAATTTCCCTTAAAATAGTAGCTTTATTTTTACATGAGACCAGAATAAACACTGCAGTTCAGTGGAGTGGGCAGCTTGCTGCGCCTTCAGAAGCCTGGACGGTGTATGTGGGTTGATTACACGCTTCATCAAGTTGAACAGCTCAACTTCAAGGAGATTGTGCAGGACAAGATTCTGAGAAGGAGCTGACCTGTGTGTGAGTTCTCCCTCCCTACACGGCCAGATCCGCATTTTACACATTTGCGGCTTCACCTGGCTTACTGCTGATTTTCCTTCCTGATGGGGCCATGCTGATTTCAGACATGAAACGAAGACCCCAAAGTGGACCCTGTCTAGACACACCCCCGAACACCCTGGAGCCTGCCAGATAAGCTCTGTCTTGACGCAATTTGCTAGAAAAGGTTCTGCTCGTGGGGGTCTCTGTGCGCCACCTCTCACCACAGCCTTGCGGCCTCAGGGAGGTCCTGTCCCGCCTGGCCGCACTCTGCGCTTGTCAATTCTCGGGCTGTGTGTGCCCTGCCCAGTCAGGGCACCAAGGTCCTCCACAGGCTGGCGTTCATCTCAGTAGGGACAATCACACTTGTCTGTGGCTTGAGAGATGCCAGAAGATGTTTATTATAATTAAAAAAATTCCAAATCAGTAAAAGGGAACACTAGCCAGTGGGAGTCAGAGATGCTGCCTGCCTCCACCATATTCCAAGCTTTAAAGGTCTTGTGATGTTTATTTACACCCCTTTGATAGACGCTGCCATTCCTTCTATCTGAGGATTCTTTAAAGATGGGCACCTGATGCTCCAGTCATCCAACTGCCCAGAGGGTTTCGTGTCTCTCTTGCTTGCCCCCAGTCTCAGCAAGCGTGACTGTAAGTGTCATGAGCTCCCAGGGGGCAGGAGCCCTGTGCTTTCCTCAGTGTCATCCAGTCATGCCAGCAGGGTGCCTGGCACACAAAAGGGGCTCAGTGAATCCGAGATCATGATTCAAGGGCCATAGTTTCTGCCTCAAGATATCTCCACAAAACCAGCAATATAAACTTGACAAAAATATGCCATGACAGAAACTGTTTTCTGTGAAGTTCTTGTAAAAGAAGAAATAAAAACAAATAAAAGGAGTTGGTTGTTCATGTGGGGCAACCTTCATGGTGGACGCACGGTGGATGCAAACGCAGCCTGCCCGCCCCCCTGAGTCTGAGCTGTGTCCTGGGTCTGCTGAGAAGCCCTTACCAGAGAGAGCTCGCACTTCAACAGCGTCCTGTCTCTACTTTGAAGTTCTGAGTGTTGACGTTTCCCTGGGGATGGCTGCCTGCACATCATGCTTGCCAAACGCGAAAGAAATGGGCTTTCAGGTCACGTGAGTGCTGTGTGGACACTTCTACAGGGATCTGCCAGTTACTTCTGAACAGGTGCTTCTGTTTGGCACATTTTATGGGGGTATTCTTTTCACAGGGTACCCTTCACCAAATAGAGTATTTACATTTTGGGAGATACGTTAGGGGGAAAAACGCTGTTTTAAAAAGGAGATTTAAGATGGAAAACAAGAAAAACTATCAGTTTACCTAAATTCTGAGCCATGAGAGATGCCTTAAAAATATCTTTGACGCCAAGAAAGCAGTCATATTGCCCAGGTCTACACAACCAGATGGGTAGGCCTTGTCCTTATGTTTGGTTTCAGTGATCAGCAAGAAGGGGTAAAAAGATAGAAGGCGGCCGTTCCAGACGCACTGATGCCCGGTTGGCGGGCCTCACCCCCAGGCCAGCTGTATGTCCAGAATCAGACTCAGGGGAGGCAGCGCCTGGATGATGGCTGGCTTGGGAAACAAACTTATTTTAAGATTCATATTCCTTCAAAAGGACAAGAATATTATATTTTGAAATAATCACATTTGGCAAATACTGTCAGAATGATGTCCTGGAATTCTTGACATAAAAGCATGGAAATAATGTATTTTTTTTTTGGAAGGGAGGAAAGAAGAGTTTACACTTACTGATACTTAAAAAAAATGACTCAACAGATGTAATGTGTAATAACAGAAGATCCTATGTCTGTTTTCTGATCTCTCCTAAAGCACAGGCCTGCTGAGAAACCCCTAACACGTTCTGGGGAATGTGCTCCAGGCCTCTCCCCACCAGACGCCTGGGAGGTGAGACCTCAGACTGAAGGATCAGCATCCAACAGAAACTGTCATTTCCCCAGACACTGGCAGGAAGACCACATGCAAATCCCTGTCCCACCACGAGAGTAAAATCAAATTTAATTCTTCTAAACAGACTCCGTGCTGCTTCCCCCCAAGCGGTCAGCGGTGGAGCCTGAGGACTGAGCTCTGGGGGTGGGGGCACGGAGACGCTTCAGGGTCATTCTGTCCTCTGCTCCTACCAGTCACCTTGGTTAGTGGCCCCAGGCCTCCATGGATACTGTAAAGTGAACAGATGGAATCAAAAACATCAGACTCACAATGATGCTTAAAGTATATGCTTGTATTGTGCATACATATATATGCACATATGTATTGTTTTTTCTCTGCTCGCTCAGTGAATTAGCAGCAGTTATAGATAACAGTTGTAGATAATTGTTGTGGTCATGATTTGTATTATTTTTAAGGATGTCATATATCTTCTATTATATGACTTTAAGAAAATGCCTTTCAATGAAAAAGATCCCCACCAAGCATGTAACATTAAAGTGTCATTTCATATCACTGACAGTTTCAGGCATAAGATCAAAACAGTCAGCATTGAGCAATCCAAATGACAGAGCACAGAAGAGATTTAATTGTTGAAAGTCGATTCCCCCAAGGAGGGAACTATTGTTCAAGGGTGTTTTTTTTATTTTTATTTTTTAAGATTCTTATGTCTTCCAGCTTTGGCTATTTTGTAATAAATATCACACTTCTTGCATAAACCTACATGGGTAAGAATTATTTTTCTGAACATGCCTTTTGTCTCTTAGCAGCTCTGAGTGTTGAGTGACGTACAAGGCACACTTCTAAGTGTTCTGTACAGCATTTTTATTGATGTACAAAATAGCCTGTTCACCGTTCAAAATAATCTGCATAGTAAGAGTTTCTCTTATCCCTATTTACAGAGAAGGTTTTTAGTGCAAAAAACATGGAATTGTGTCCCAGCCCACCCCTTCTAGCACGCACATTTATCAGTTCTGTTCAATACTAGTTGGGGTTATGTGGCTATATTTTGGGTCTCCAGCCATTAATGAATTGCATTATTTTCTTCACCTGCAGTTTGCTCAATTTGAAATCCTCTGAGAGGATTTCTTCCGTGAGCTGAACAAGCAAATTCCCATCAATCTTTTCGGTAACAAAGAATGAAATGACATCCTCAGACAAGCCGATAAACCGCAGGGACTTGGATACTTCCTCGACAGACAGTCCTGACAGGTCAGTGGGTGGCTGCCATGGGGAGCCATCGCCGCAGGACCTGGGGGCCAGCTGCAGGTGCAGCGGAGACGAGAAGGGGTATGGGATAGGGAAGATGTCTTGCATGCCCTTTTTCACGAAGTGCTGGTCCTCGGACAGGTCCGATGACCCTGACTTCACGTCTTCCTCAGCACCATCGATTCTCAGAGGCAGAGGAGACACGTCGGAGGCCCCTGCTCTCTCTTCCACCGGCTTGGGGGCCCTGGGGGGCAAGGCGGGGCATGAAATACTCTGCTTTGCTGTGCTGGCCGCCAGAGTTTTCTCGTGTGTGCTCTCCAGAGAGTAGCTGGCTGATTTAGGACAACCAGAGACGCTGCTACTGAGCTCCGAAGTGACAGATATGGGGGGACTGGCCGAGAGCTCACAGCCATCGAAATCAGAAGGTGCTGGGCAGTTTCTCTTTGGTGTGCCTGGCGTCTTTTGTCTTGGGTAACTGTAACTCCTGCTTGGGTCCAGCAAGAAGTCACTCCTGGTCTGGCTCTCCGACGCTCCCGAATAGTGGTTAGGCCATGAGAGCCTGGAGGAGAGAGCTTCAGCAGGCCTTCCCAGCGGGGCCCTCAGGCCCAGGGGGTCTGCTTCCACACGGGTACAGGGGTAGCAGGAAACGGGAGCACTTTCAGAAGAACTTGTGTCACTTTGAGTGACGCTGCTTAAAAGCAAACACAGAAAGTGAGATTAGTGAAAAAATGTAAAACACAACTATCAAGCCTACCCTGATCCCATGGATGTCCCTTCCAAGTAGAAAAATGTAGCACAAAAATATTATTTCTTATCATGAATTAGATAATCTACTAACCTCATTGGGTTTAAAAAAAGAATCTTTAAATTACTAAAATATATTGGTAATTATGGCCATAAACACGACTTGAAATGCTACAGGGGAGATGGCAAAAACATAATTAAAAAAAAAACTAACAAGAAAATCATTGTTGATGGGTACCTGGATCTTTAAGATGAGAAAAATTAAGCCATGTGCTGGCTTATGGCTGACAGGGGCTGTGATGAATGTGTGATGTCTGTGGGGCAAAGGTGAGGGGGAGAGGAGCCCGTCAGCTTTTCACACTCCATACTGTGCTGTGGTGACATGGCTACACCTCCACCACCTGGGACTCGACTACCAGACAGAGGCCTGAGTGGGATGGAATGCTTATGCCTTGGTTTCTGTACAGCCGAGTATTATTGGCATAGGATTAAATGTCCAGAGAACAAAAACAGCTGCAAAGGAGAGCTACTTTGAACTGCAAAGATCACCCCTGGAGCAGGCATTCAGCTCCGGACTGTGTCTTAGGAATGACAGTGAAGCCAGAGTCAGGGAGCAGGCTGACTAGGGGCTAGGCGGCAGGGCCAGGGGATGTAGCTATGGAGGGGGTGGGGAAGGGAGGGTAGGGGGGTGGGGGTGGCTTCTTTTAGAGAAGGGAAGACTTCCATCTTAGCTGACTTTAAAGTTTCACAGGCTGACAAAGAGAAGTGGGAAAGTGGGGTGGGTCTTATTTTTGTTTTTCTAGACATAGAAACAATTGAAAGTTACATGGAGACGGATTTTCAACTCCATGTAATGAAAGACTCAAAACTAATCACTGGCACCTGTCCACAACAGGATGCGCTGCCCTACAAACAGGTGAGGGCTCAGCTCTGCAAGGTGACCACCTCCGGCGACGGTCAAGAGGGATTCCAGCCAGGAGGAGCGTCAGAGCACAGAGCCAGTAGGCGCTCCCAAGTCTTGAGTCCCAGCTGGGAGTGCACGTGTTTAGGTCAACGAGGCAGAACTAGATGCTGGCTTGTGGGACGCAGGCCGGCGTCGGCTTCCAGAGAATCCCGTTGGCCTTTGTCACTGAATTTCTCACCGACTCCGTGCCTCGTGTCCTCCCGGAGCACTGGCTCAGCTCCTGCATCCTAGCTCAAAACCCACAGCCCACCCTGCTGGTCCAGTAAAAAGTTCGACTTGCCCTCTCCCACTGCCGCCCGGTGACGGCGGCCCTGAAGGGGACCTCCGGGGCCCCGGCCCGGCTGCGGGCCGGCTGAAGGGCGCCCGGGCGGGAGGACTTACATGTCGTGCAGCCCCGAAGAGTAGTAGGACAAGGTGGGGCTGGGGGAGCGCGTCTGCTGCCGCGCTGGCCGGGCCGTGCGAGGGGGGACGGAGGGGCTGGCGGCCGCGGGCTTCGCGCTCCGGGGCGGGACGGGCGGCGCGTTCAGGAGTCGGCACTCTTCCCGCACCTGGCGCAGGAGAGAAGGCGGTCAGCGCCGGCGGGCCCGCGGGGGCTGTGCGCCCTGCAGGGCCCCAGCTGGGGGAGGCGGCGGCGGAGCAGGGCGCGGGGCGGGCTCCGGGGCCGCGCGCACTCGCGTACACCCCGCACTTCGCCGGGCACGCGCCTCGCCCGGGCTCTGGTCCGCGGGCGGACTCCGCTCGGGAGGTCGAGGCGGGGCCCCGGGGGCTCCCGCAGACCGTCCCGGGCGGCCAGCGGCTCTGACTGGGAAGGGCTCCGTCCGCACCGGCGCGCAGCCCACGGGCGCCCGGCGAGTCCACCTGAGCGGCACGTAGAGGCTGCTAGTTCCGGGGTCGGGCAGAAGCGCCCTCCCCGACCTCAGGCCGCGTTCCCACCAACGTCTCCACCTCTGCCTTCCACTCCTTTCGTCCCAGCAGCTCGAGTAATAAAAACAATGAAACAACTCGCTGCCACTTGCTCGGGCACGAGTGTGCTTCAGACCAGAGAGGGCTTCACGTCCCGTCATCTGCCACCACCTGCTCGGACCCCGGGCCTCTAACCGGCTTCCCAGACCCCATGCACTGGCCAGCGAAAAGCGGATGCTTAGAAAAGGCACGTGGCCACCGGTCGCCAGGCAAACCCCAATTCTAAGCGCACGAAAGCTAATCAGAAAAGTGTCATCCGTTGCATTTCTTCCTGGGACAAGAGACCCACTGGATACGGTTTTTGATCTGGAAAAGCTCTTTAGGCTAAATAAAAATATCCAAAGCAGCACATTTTCTTCTTCAACAACTGCAGGCTTTCCTCCTTTTGAACTTTTAAGAAAGGTGATAGTGGATGGCTGCAGAAAAAAACCTCTGGGAGGAAACGAGGATAGGGAGGAGGGCGTTAGCTCACGCAGGGGAACTCTTGCTCGACCTCGGGGTCTTCTTTTCTTAAGAAGCTGCAAACGAACCAGGATATTGAAAAGCTCCAGCCAGGTCACCCCGGCCCTGGCTTTTGGGAGTAATGTGGTCACGAAAGATGTGACTAAGTCAACGTGTCTCTTTCGGCCTTGCTAGTGTCTGCTGAGCAGCCAGCTGGGCTCTCCTGCGTCCCGGGGAATGTCTGTAGCGTCCGACGGCGGTCGCGGGGTTGGATATTGGGGGTGTGCCTGGTTCTGTTTATGCTTCCGGCGAGAGCACTAGGGAAAATGAGAGAGGATGCCGATCTCGGTGTTTTTAATTCCTAAAATAAACAGACACTTCTCAATATTGGATTAGAGAGGGGCACGGGGAAAACGTAGTTAATGCTGAATCTGATTTGGAAATTTCTAAATTTTGGGATTAGTCATTAAATATGTTTCATTAGGGACCGCTTATCCAGATGGTAGTTATGATAAGCTGAGATCTCAATAACATGCATTTTAATTTAAAATAATTAGCTGACCTTGGTCTTGGAACACAGAAAAGCAGCCACTCGTAGGTGAGTCTGAGCTGTGGAAGCCCCCCCTTCCTGCTCTCGCCACCCACCCCAGGCACTCACAGTCGCTTAGAGCTGGCTGTGCCTCCTCCTAGCATGGGGCTGTCCCGGGGGGCCTTCCAGGAGGCCCCCAGCCTGCGGGTCATAGGGCCTGTGCGGGGGCCGCACTGACCTGGGAGCGCTGTCCCCTGAGCGGCGCACAGCGTGGAACACAGACGCTGCGTGGGCCACACGACTCCGGGAAGTAGTTACAGAACAGGTGCGTGCGTGCAAATGCGTGCAATTCTCACTCGGGGCAGACAGGATGTGGTGGGCGAAGAAGTACTGAACAGGACAGAGAAAGATTTTCTCCCCTTGTGAAGCCGTCTGGAATCACACGAGCTCCATGGGAAGGACTAGACTTCTATGAAACCCATTTGGAAAAAAGGTACTTACAAACAAAACAAAAAACAACTTGAAAGAGACCCCTGCACGACAAGAATTCAGCTGTAGTTTTTGTCGAGGCACAGAGCAAGTGGCTCGCAGCACCCCGGGCAGGTGCTGAGGGTGCCCAGGGTGGGGTGGGGGCACACCTGCGACGCTGCAGACACCTCCTCGTGTCATTTCCAATGTGCTGACACGCGGCGGCTCAAATGAAGTCGGGTTCCACCAAATTTTATGGGAAAGGTGAGCTTTGGTGGGCTACGTGCATTCTGGGATTCCGAGGTTACAGACAGTGAGGGTTGTGGGCCGTCTGCCATCCTGTCTCCTACGCCCTCGTCACAGTAAACTTGGCTTCTTGATTTGACTCAAGATAGGACATTTATATCCCAGAGAAATGTGGCTATGTTTGACACGAATTTTATCTGACAATAAAAAGTTTACAAGACTAGATGGCCAGTCACTGATTCCCAGTTTCCCATCATATTTGATTTCACTTTGAAGAGCTCCACTTTCAGCGCATTCCTTCTGAGAGTCCCAGCATGTGGCTTTCACCCTGTTGCCCCCAGCTCTAGTGGCCCTCTCCCGTTACTGGATGAAGTCCAGCCTCTCCTACCTCTCACCGAGGCTTCTGCAGTCTTTCTAGCTATTTCTTCTGGCCAGAAATGATTCCAGTCTGTTCTGTCCATCCAGTCACCTCCCCCACTACTCCTCTCCATGCACACAGTCCCCCCAAAGCGGCAGCTTCGGTGCCACCTAATTGTGCCTGGTTCTTTCCTGCCCTCCCTGTGGTGGGGCTTCCTGCCCGTCCCTGCAGGGTCAGCCCCACAAATTCATTACATGCTCACTCTGGGACCATTGCAGATAGCCACAGGTGCCTGTCACTCACTGCCTCCTCTGCTGACACCCTGTATTTACTGACTTCCCATGTGAATGCAATTTGCCTGAATGTGAAAATGGTTGGGACCGACACCACTGTCACTACTGCCTGCGGAAGGAGGACCTCAGGAGTCTGTCACCCGGGGCACCTGTATGTCCGACAGAGTGCTAGGCACAGGGTAACAGCTGTTACAAAAAGGCACATTATTTTTAAACCTAGACCTTAAGAATGCCTAAATATCTATGTTACCCCCCCACCCCCGGTACTGACATGTCATTTGGACTGGAGATGGAGGTTCATTTTTGTGCCGTTTCAGTGGCAGTCTCAGGATGGAAAGGTGTCAGCCTACGTGGGACACACCTGGGACGTATGACCACTGTCACCCCATCACCACCATGGCCAAGTGAGACTGACACCGCCATTCTCTACTGTGAAACATGGAGTTCCCTGCCTGCACCCCAGAAAACTGCGATTCTAAATGAAGCTTTCCTTCCCAGTGCTGACTTCCCGTGCAATTCGCTCACCTTACTCCTCCCAAAGCAGCCCCTCCCCTTGTCTAGAATGCTCAGTGACTCAGCTCTTAACACAGGTAAGACACTAACTACCCAGGGGCAGAGCTCTCCTGTATTCATGCAGCAGACTGCTAGCCCAGGGCCAAACATGAGCTCATTTACTGAAAGGCCAAAATGCTGAATTCTGCTCTTTCTAGTCCCTTCTCTCTAGATTCTGAGGCATATTCAAGGGACTGCCATCTAACACACTGACATCGTTTAATAGTGGGGGTCTGAGGGAAGCTGTAAAATGTGCCTGTCCTGGGGGCTATCAGTGGGGACCACAGGCACCAGCCACTTCCATTGTCCCTAAAAGTCTGAAGATGACCATCACTTTCCCTTTCCTACATCCTACCCTGCTTCCATTTTGCTAGTGATTTGTTCAGATACAGCCTGAGTGAGTGCCTAATGTGCTCAGTGAGCTAGAAATTAGTTGGGAGGGAGAAAGACAAAAATAATTGAGATACAGATCAGCTGTGTCATACTGGGAGGAGAAACAAGGGTGAGCAGGGCACCACAGATGTATTCCAGGTGGCGGGAGAACAAATGCGGGAGAACAAATTACTAGGAACTCCCCCTGGGAAAGCCTTGAGGAAGAAGGGATTACGAGTGTACAAAAGGTAGAGAGGCACGGAAAAGCCACCAGATGGTGCTTTGGTCCTAGGGCTTGGATGACAAGATAAATACTGGTGCCACTTATCAGACTAACTTGGGAGGAGGAGCAGGTCTGGGAGGCCCCAGGTGTTCAGGGTGGGAAGTGCTGAGCTCCAGCCCCACGTTATACTGCTGGGATCTGATGTCACAGCGGCACTGAGATCTCAGATGAGAAGTGGAGGGCTGAACCCTGGGGGGGCAGGCAGGAGAGGAGAGAAGGGAGAAATGCAAGTGACTCCATTTCACCATGCCGAGCAGAACCACGGCCAAATGGGGTCAGCGCAGCAGAAGAGAGAGGGCTGCAGAACAGCAGGGTAAAGGCAGGAGGATGTCAGGAAGTCAGGAAAGGTCTGGAAGATGCATAAGAGCCAGCAGGTCACTGGGGATCTTAGCAAATGAAACGCAAGTCAAAAAATAAAAAAAGAAAAAGAAAAGCTTGGAGCAGAAGCCAGATGCCAGTGAGGCAAAGCCGGAACTGGAGGTGCAGGTGGGTCAGCGAGGAGAGGCCACTCTTTTCAAGAATGCTGGCTAGAAAGGAAGGAGATGCAATTATTAGAAAGGGATAGTGGATTGAAGGAGGCATGGCTTTTTCCCCTAAGCTTGGAAGAAACTGGAAAACTGTGTTGGGCATGTCCATGCACACAGGTCCCCTGAGGTTGCTGAGTGCACACGGACACCTCTCCTCTCGTGTAAAGCCTGGAGGGGAGAACACACCTCCTGCTGCTCTCTGCCATGCCACGCTGCCCTGTTTGTGTAAAGCTGGACAAGTAATTAAGGATGGCTCACTAAGAGCTAATGCAAAGATGGAACCCACCCAACAGGGTGGGTGACTCTGGAAAGCTCTGTGTTTCTAAGTGAAGGGGGTCAGCAAAGGCAAAACCCACCTCTAATTTTGGTCAAAATCTAATGCATCACAGAATGGGATGCTACTTCAGAAGACTGCCCAGAAAGCTTAGCGGGATTCCTGCCTGCCTAGAAGAAGCATTAACTCCTTCCCTCTCTCTTCTCCATACAGCTCTAACTCTGCTTAGCTGGTGGGAACTG